CCAAAATAGGCATATGTGGGCCATCTATTGCCCCACCGCAGTTAGGGAATCCCATTGTTGCAAAACCATCCACTATTTCCCGCACAGTGCCCAGAGTCGCAGCCCTTCTTAGCAGGATGCAATTAATGACCCAGCACACTAGCAGCAACCCCCACGATGGACTGACTCCAAACTGATTCCCGACCGATTGATAGCAATCTGGCATTGCCGGCTTCCTCATAGTGATCACCACTTGCTTCTCCGCTGTGAATGCAGCTCTCATTTTGGTGTCGCTGTGCCGGAGGGCTGGGGCGAGCTCTGCCCACCGTTCCAGGAAAGTGTTCTTGCCCATCCAAAAGTTCTGCAGCCACTGCTCATCATCCCATACCTGTATAATGATGTGATCCCATCACTCAGTGCTTGTTTCTTGGGCCCAGAACTGACGGTCCATCGTGGGCAACTGCTCCGTGAATCCCAACAGCAATTTGAATTGTTTCTTTCCATGGCACACAGTAAGGCAAACACCAAGGCATCTGCTTCAGACTCCCAGCTCAGGGAACGCTGAAGGATCAGATGTGTTCATAATGCTCCCCACAATACTGAAAAGCAGTGCAAGATCCATGCTTTTTGACAGAAATGGCGGGGTGTGCAGGTTACTGGGGCTGCTGAAAAGTGTTGCGAAACCTACATGGAATGATGGGATGGAGAAAACTGAATCATGGGATGCTGAACCTGCTCCCATGAGGTATTGCATACCTTTTCTAAAACACTCTGCCGTAGATGGTAGCGAGTTGCAAAGTGGGATAGCTACCCAGGGTGCACTGCTCTCTGTTGCAAGAGCTATTACTGTGGATGCACTCCGCTGATACACAGTGTAGCATATATGCAATAGGGTTGCCAATTTTGGTTGGATGTATTTCTGGAGAGTTCATTATATGATATAATCTTTAATTAAAGATTAATCTAATTCCTGGAGACTCCAGGACAATCCTGGAGGGTTGGCAGCCTGACAGTGGTTTAATTACAGCGGCAGCTGTATGTTGCCATAATTTGAGTCAACTTAACTTTGTAGTGTAGACAAGCTTTTGGTGTTAGGATGTTTGGCCGTTTTCCTCCACAGGTACAGTGGCGTGTGTCAACTTACTTTTTTTTTTTTTTCCAATATTCAGGTGTAAATAATAATCTGTGGCCCAGGGTCAAGTACTCAAGCAGTTTTCTATTCATGTGTCTTAGTATCTCCTCAGGCGAGATCTTTTTAATTTCTTCTTCAGAAATTATATTCCACTTAGTCACCACATTGATTTTTCATGTATCTTAGTAAATTAATCCATTAATTTAATTGGCACAGTGTAGAAAACAGAGCTATGAATGAAAGCTGTCCAAGCAAAACTATAGGCTGTGCTTGGTTACCGTAGGCATTTTAAATTCAGCTGGCACTGTGATATGTACAGTATTAAAGTGCTAAGCACTTTCAACACCCACTGACATCAATGGGAGTTGAAGTCACTCAGTACTTTGCAGGTTCTAGTCCCTAAATACGGTGATCTTTTGTGAATATGTAATCTCTTATATAATAGCAAATGCTTTTCAAGCCTCCGGTTACTAGGTTCATACCCCTCCATTACCAAGCTGTATTTCAGGTTTCAGCACATCTCATGAAAGTAACTAACAGGCAGTCTGGAACTCCCCCATCTCCAGTATGTTTTTTTAAAAAGCTAAAACAAACATGTATAAATAGCCCTTTTTTGATATAGACTTTAACAATCTCATCATGCCATTTCAGGGAGATATCCGGGTGAGCCAATACACAATATTACAATGCTTCCTGTTTCACAATCAGTCTGACTTGGTTAATTGAATATCAGTTGAATTCCTTTCCTTAAACTCACATCATCTCCTCTTTTAATGTACACATCGATACTGATGTGCACCCTAAAGGGTTTCCCCCGGCTCTCAATAAATATTTTTACGTAAAGAAGTGAGACCAGCTTGTGATCTTAGGTAGTCACCAGAGTTTCATTGACGCCTTCTGATTGCCAGATACACTTTCTGGAGAATGTTTCTGTGGATGTAGCCCCTTTGCAGGCAGTCTGCTTGCAGACATGGTGTATATTCAATTAAGTTCCCTTACACTGGCTGCTTGCTGGTGTCATTATGTTGGAACTGGTAGGATAGTTGCTTCCAGAAAAAAAATTATATTGAACAGCAGGGTTTGAGTTGGCACATTGTGTTGATAGTGTCAAAAAAGGGAAACTGTACTCTTGTGGTATTCTCTTGTGGTTTCCATTTTAAAATGAATTTCTCTTTGCTCTGGCCTTCTACTGCTGTAATACAAATAATAAATAATTATCTTAATTAATATTTTCACATTGGTTTCAGAAACAGTAGATGGTAATCCTATGTATCCTAGTTGTCCTGCTCTCTCTTAAAATACAGCCCCAAGGCCCCAAAAGTCGGCAGGGTGGCTCAGGCAGATATAGTACCAGAAGCTCCTTTTAGCTGACTAGATTTTAAATGCTCAAGTCCAATATATGAAGCCCTTCCCCTTTCCTAGGCTTCATAGCCTGAGCTCCAGCTCGAGCCTCAACTTCAAAGCAATGTCTCTACAGCTGTGTTTAGAGTGCTAGTGTGAGCCCTGATAACCCGAGTCTCTTCACCCACTCTGGGAGGCTCACTCCTGCTAGTAGCCCCAAAACATTGTGTAGAGTTACCCTTTGTGCTCTTTTGAAAGCTGGCCCCTCTTGTTTAACCAACAAAGATGTCCTTTTCCTCTGTCTTCTGTTTTAAGGGTAGTTTTGCCTTTTTAAAGCAGTCTACTATTTTTCATTCCAATCCCACACTTAAGATAAAATATTGAATGATCCTCAAAGAAGTAATAATTTATCAGATACTCATTATGATGTGTTGCTATCAATGTATTTCTGAGCAATTAAACTGCATAGTGGTTCTACAACTTGTGGCCATATCTATGACAAGTGTGTTGTCTTGACTTACAGAGAGGCAACATAATTTGATTATATTACATACTCCTGGGGGAATTCTGCGACATTGCACAATGCAGAATTTTGCAGAAAATTAGCGTGCATGCAAAATTTCCCCTTTCCCTCCACAGAAATGTGATGCAGAGATGTTGGTCGCCACTAGGGGCCGCTGGACCTAGCAGAGCCCAGCTCACAAATAGATATGGCCAGGAGGAGGGGGAAGAGGAGGGAACTTGAGGGTTCCCAGCCACTGCAGTTCCCAGCATGAGCTCAAGGCAGGAGGGGGTGGCACCACACAGGAAACTCTATGTAAGCGTGGGACCCAGCATCAGTTGTTTCTCCCTCTGGATCCCTGGGCTCTGGGGAGTAGAGGGTGTGAGCATCAGGGCTGGGGTGCCCGCAGTTGGGCTCTGGGGGAGAGGAAGTGTGAGTGTCTGGGCTGGGGGGGACGGACCCACAGCTGGCCTCTTGGGGATAGGGGATGTGAGTGTCTGGGCTGGGGGGGCAGACCCACAGCTGGCCTCTTGGGGATAGGGGGTGTGAGTGACTGGGTGGGGGATGGGCATGGCTGGGCTCTGGTGGGGAGGGGCTGAGTGTGTCTGGCCTCCGGCTGGGCTCTGACTGGGAGGGGGCAGAGAAACAGGAAATGGGCTGTCATAGGGGCTTCTTTAACTCTCTACTCCTGGGAGAATTTTTGTCTGTGTCTGTATTATTACAGACACATTTGCTGACGGGTATTTTGGAATAAATTACCAAAATAATTGAAACTGGTATATTATATAGTTTTATTTTGACAAATACAATTTGCAGAATTTTAAAATATTGTGCGCAGAATTTTTAATTTTTTGGTGCAGAATTCCCTCAGGAATATATTACACAAGTGCTTCCTGTGATGCACTTAAAGTGAAGTTTTAGGTGTGGGTCACTTAGGGCTTGAGCCCAACAACATTGAAGTCAAATTTCCATTGGCTTCAATGGGCTTTGAATCAGCTGGTTATAGTGCTGAGCTATTTAATATTGTTAACAATTAGTGTTAATTAGATAAGTGTCTTACACATGGCAAATTTCTGATAGCAACTGTCGATTTACATACTTCCAGAAAGCTGACCACTTTTTGGTGTTAAGAGAATTCTTAGTCATCCACGGTTCTCTCTAACTTCACAGGTTTCAGAGGGGTAGCCGTGTTAATCTGTATCAGCAAAAACAACGAGGAGTCCTTGTGGCACTTTAGAGACTAACAAATTTATTTGGGCATATGCCCAAATAAATTTGTTAGTCTCTAATTTCACAAAGACCCTAAAGGTAAGGGCCAGACACTAGTTTTCACTCATACCAAATAATGGAATTAAGAAGGGCTGAAACAAATTTTGACTGAAAGTGGGGGGAAACATCACCCTTTTATTTCTAATACAGAAAGCAAGGCCTTTCAGAAGGATTAATTGTTGTGGTTATTCACAGATTGCCCAAACAATCTTGGCAGTGCAGTTTTAAAAAATGTTTATTATTATAATAACTGAAAAGATTATGCATATACATAATGTTTTCCTTATATTTTCAATAACATGTAAATCTAAGTGATGGTGGCATAGATAATATCAAATGATTCAAGGCTATATGGTAGAGAGAAGCCTTACTTATTTTGAAATAATTGATTGCTTCCTGTTTCCGTTTAAACTGGTGTGAGTTCAGCTTCTGTGAACTGTGCTAGGTGATACTTGTTCCATGGTTTACCTTGATCAGGTTGAGCCATACTAGCCTTTGTGGTCCTGCTGGGTTCATCCAGGTAATCAAGATTGTTTTTTTGACCAGCATAGTAACAGAGCATAAAAGATCTCTTTTATGGTGTTTAACACTTCAGAAATGCCTAAAACACAATTGTATTTTTTAGGAAAGCCCGCCTCCAACATGTCTTTAATTGTGTTACTCCTACCCATTTGACAGTATATTTTAATAAGAACAATGCAGAGTCTGATCCCTGCACGAAGAGAAAAGTTTCTTAAAAAAACGAAAACATTTCCCTCTCGTTTTTTTTATTTGTAGGTTTTCGCTGCTCCTTCTTAATCTGGAGGAATATTATTTTGAACAGCATACGGCTAATCATATTATAAACACAGACTGCAGAGATGAAAGGTAGAAAACCATTTGTGTTTTGAAAATTATACTGGAGTCATTCCGCTATTGGATCTCAATTTGGTTATGCAAATCTTTTTTTTTTCTTTTCCTTTTCTTTTTAGGAAAATCAGAGGTTCACTAAAAATCTGCTCAAAATCAATTATTTTTGAACCAGATGAGAAAATCCAGCCCATTATTAAGGTAAATTGTCCAGTCTGATCATTTGGTAGTAACTTAGTTTCTTTTTAAAATGTATGTTTAAAGAAATACATATTTCTATAACTTGCTGCAGATCCCATTGCGAGACTGTATTAGTATAGAAGCACCAGAAGATAATGAAGCAAATAATCCTTTCACCTGGTATGTGAATTTAAGATGTTTAGATACTTCTATTTTTGTTTTTAATAAGTGGAATACTTGTATTTCAAGTACCTTATCTACATTATAGGTATACACCTGGAGTGATTTCTGTTGTATCCAATCAGGTAAGAAAAACATATAACAAATTCATGGTTCATAACTAAGAAAAGTTTTTTCTAGGATTTCTTTAAGCATTTTCAAAAAACAATATTGGACACAATGAACTAGAAAATAATATGCCACATTACCGTTCTTAGCATCTTTCATAAATAAGTAAATACAGAAAAAAAGAAATGTTCAACTCAAACTTAGTTGACGTTGACATGTTGAGGGTATCTCTTGAATAGATGGTAAGTCAGATACGATAAATTTACCTCCAAGCTCAATTGCAAATTGCCTAGTAAAGATAATATTTTCAGAAATGAATGGATACAGGAGGATCACTTTTATCATTAAAAACCAAGGGAGGTGTATTTCAACTTTGATACTTCTTGTTTTGGTCTTTCTATATCTCTTGCAGTTTTTCTGACTCTCCACTACCATCATGGCTTGCTTACATCTGTCTTTTCAAAGATTCAAGTGGAAAACTCAGTTCAAAGATTGGACTCTACTGTGTGTGCATTTAAAATTTTCAGTAACTGAACATGAAGTATGGAAGTAATGTTAGAGCATGGAATGTCTTGGATATAGTTAATTCAAATTTGCAAATAATGTTCAACACTCTAAGCTTCATTTAAAAAAATGGAGCGGATCTAAAGATTTCAAAATTAGAAAGACTTCAACAAAAAATGGACACACTTTTCATGAAATCTTTTGAGAAAAAAATTCAACCCATTTTCATTTTGGTCCACTGGTAGATTTCACACTTGTAATCTTGTTTTTGCCCTAATAAAGAACAAATTGCTACAGTTGAAAATTAATTTGGGCAGGTCACTAGACTGTCTACATGGGAAAGTTGTACTAGTTATACTGATGTAGTTATACCCAGTACAGTTAGTTATTCTATTTTCAGTGTAGAGCTGCTGTGAAAATGGCATTATGGGTCCATGGCAACAACTTCTATATAAAATGTCCTCTGTTTACAAATATAAAGATGCCTTTCTAACAACCAGTCCTGCAAACTCAGTCAGGTCCCTAAGAGTGGAGCTATGTTCTTTTCCTTTTCGTCCCCACACTCTCCTGTTAAAGTTGTGAAGAACAAAACACATTAGCCCAATCTGTAGTCCAAGGAGGATTCCTCTTGCAGTATCTCAAAAACATCTTTTATAATAGAAAGTGTTCGGCAAACTAAATATGAGGTAGTTAGGTGCTACCATCTCCTTCCTATAACACTGCTCTACAGCCAAAATGCTTCTGAAATAAATGTAGTCAAACTTTACTAATTCTGGGTCACTGAGAACGAAAATGATGCTTAAAATTGTTGTTTGGCTCTAGTTTTCAAGATATGCTATTGGGTCAGTATATACGACCCTTGACTTGGGAATGGCGGAGGATAAGTGAGTTATAAAGGGGAGGGATCTCAATTTAAACCAGAAATGACTAAAATATATCTTTGACTGGATCTATGACTAAATCTATGACTGGGTTTGGACAGTACTTGCTTTTTAGGCAAAACAATGAATAATGCAATCTGAAGCTGGTATTGGGTCATACATGATATGAATTGCATCATGTTATTCCTAGAAGTAAGCTTTGTTATGATTGTATCATCCATGACATCACTCTGCTGAACAAATTGCCCTATATCAGCTCTAGAAATCATACAGTGTCGTGCTCTCTTATTTGCCAGTGTTTGATTTTGCAAAGGGACACATTTCTGTTTAGCCAAAGTGAGCAGAGATGCCTCGTACTTGTGTGAACAGTGCAGATAACTTCTGCTATGTTTGTGGTGAAGTGACTTTTGCATCATAAAAGCGCAGTATGACCACTATGGTTAAGAAAGCCTATCGCCTTTATTTTGGCTGCAAAATTGGAGATCAGGACAAGAGGTGGGCCCCACA